AGGGAAAACATTGGTGTAATTGTATTTGAACAGGAGCAATAGTTCTTAGAAGACTTGCAGAAAATTATTTTCTGTGTAGCATCTACACACACACAAAAAAATCACTTTGTTATATATGTTGCCTTTATATCCTGTAACTGAAGGATGTCATGTCCATTCATGTCCAAATGTTTTATGCAGTGATAGATGTGTTTAAAAGTGTAACTGTGTTCCATTTATTTCACATTTTAATTAGCAGAGAAGTTGTTTACTTGTCAGCTTCAATCTCCAGAATAATTTTTTTATTAATGCTGTTTTCTAACAGGTACGAAACAAAGTATATAGTCGAATATTGTCACTGCGTTCTCCAAATATTTCTGGGACTAGATCTCCGCAGGAACTTTTTAAAGCTTCAGGTTTGATGCAGGTACAAGACTTTTTAGCATAAATGGTCTAGAGCATTCCTTTGTTTCTTGAAGGAATCCTAGAAAGTCCTGGATTACTGATTTTTACTTCCTCCTCTCAGTGTTTAGATAGCAACTGTCAACTTCTGTACCTTCAGTCTGGCCCCTGAACTTTCACATGCATGTTTTTAGAATTGCTGTGTTTTGTGGTTACTGTTATAGAGGTAAATGGATAGAGCCAGGCTCTGTTGATGTGATTATGACAAGTGTTCCAACAAGAATGGAAAACATGTAGCAGACTTGCTTCTGGTTTTAGTCTGTGATCTTGAGCACACGTTTTGGAACTTCTTTCACTATATGCGCAATTAACTTTCCCTGCTACCTTTTTATGATGAGCCTTTCAATAAAACCCATGTGAAGACTAAGCAGGAAATAAGGTCTTAGGGAAACTAGTAATATCGGTATGAAAGGAAAATGTCAAAATGTCTGTATTACCCTAAACATGGATACTTTTAAAAATGTATTTTTATCTTCCATCTCTTTATGCCACAGTTATTGTTTTCTCTGAGGGAGGAAACAGACTAATTTTAAAATATCCAAAATACTTTGTTTTTTCTTTGTTTCCCTAATGATAAAAACTATCATTTTGTATATTTATGTAGAGAAAATATTGTCTATAATGAAATGTCTCCATCACACTACGGACAGATACTGAGCCCTGCTCTGTCTGTTTTTTGGTTTAAAATGTAATAGTGGAGGAAAGGCACAAGGACAATGTTAGTTTACAAATTCCTGGACTGTTAACCAATGGGAGAACAATTTATAAGTAAGTTTTGACCTTAGAACTCTAATGGATTTCAAAGTTCTGTTCCCCTTTTTCTCGGTACCTATTTACCTACCTTCTTTTTGTTTTTTTTTTTCTTCTCCTTTTTTATTCTGATCCTGATAGTTGTCTGCTGCCCTGTATTTAAAACAGTACTGGCATCAATCAGGGACATGGTTTCAATGAATTATAGGTAGGACAGTCACTGAATCAAAGGGAAAATGAATTTTTTTAGGAGAAATTAAATTTGGACTTTCATACCATTCTTACAGTCTTGTGCCTTTCATATGCCAGTATTATCCTCTGGCAGATAAATACTGACAAGACATGTAATTTGCAATAGTGGTATCTTTGATATAATGACTTCCATTGTATCTGGTTTTGTCCTTCAGAAATGGGTGAATAGAGAAATATCCAACTTTGACTACCTTATTCAGCTGAACACAATGGCAGGACGAACTTACAATGACCTTGCTCAATATCCTGTGGTAATTTAAAAAATTTAATTTTAAAATTTTTGACAAATGCATTTTTTCTATTTTGAAAGATGGATTTTTAATCTCGATTTGATCTTTGATGCTTTTTTTTTTTAGTTCCCCTGGATTTTACGAGATTATACTTCAGAAGAACTGGACCTGAATAACCCTGCAGTCTTCAGAGATCTGTCCAAACCCATAGGGGTGGTAAATGAAAAGAATGCTAAGACTGTGAAAGAGAAGTATGTATTTGAACACTCAGTTATACTTCTATGTCTTTTCTGAGCCTCCAGGCTGATAACACATTTTAAAAATAAAGTTGTGACAGTGAAATTTTTAAAAGCTGCTTTTATAACATCACAGATGCATTTGCAAAGGTGGTTGATTTGTTGTTCCTGCTGCATTCAGATTAATTAGCTTATATGGCACTGAAAGGACAAAAGTTACTGCTGTAAATTTTCAATTATTTCTCAGATGTGGAGATAAAAAACTGAAAGGCTTTAGAAAACATTTTAATGGCCCAGCAGCTTGAACAGACATACTGTGTCCCATGTCTGCTTCAGGATAAGGAATGTGAAGTCATACTGATGAGTTGAGTTGTCTGTGCTGAGAGGTAGCATTGATCCCAAATTTGGGCTTCCTGCTCTTCCGCTGCCACCTCCAAGTATAGACAGTTATCTTTGAAATAAAATATGACCTGGTGACTTCCAGCATCTCCCATGTAGGTAGGAATGACAAGCACCTACACCCACGCATCAGTATAGTGATCCTTCCTTTTTTGCTAATGTGGGGAGTGAGTGTGCTGTCATACTAGAAGATTGTGCTTGTCAGGCATTCTCAAAAACCAGCTTTCTTCTGAAAATTTGGAACATGGAGAATTTTATTTGAATGATTAGCCTCTATCACTGACTAATGAAATTGGTTCTCTAGCAGTATGTTTGACTTTAATTTCTCTTATTCCTCTGTGTCACAAGGCTAGTATATCAGCCAGATAGTGGCATAGTACTGTAGAGTGAGTTTGCCAGTAGAAAAGGAAATGGGCATGAGTGTTAAATAAATCTCTCTTCTGCATCCTGCACAGTCACACACACGCACTCTTTTTTAATTTTTTTTTTTAATATTGCAGGAAACTGTCAAAAATCCCTTCAGTAATAAATAGTCAGCTTAGTGATATGGGGGTTTTTTGTCTGTTGAATAAAGCCATGCTAAATCAGGCCTGTCTTGCCCTTTTTCCAGTTTCTGACAGCTGATAGCAAATGCCTAGGGAAGAGTATAAGAACAGGTGTGCAAAGGCTTCGTCTGGTATACGTTTCTATCTTTCAGCAGTCTTTTGCTTAGGGACTTTCTAAGTCAGAATTGGAACCCTGATGTTTAATAGAACTCAATGTATTTTTTGCTCTTACAGATTGCTGTGATTGTTTCTTTTGAATCCTTACCTCCAATAAGTATAATCCATGTGTAAATCGGCTGTAGTGCTCAGTTGTATTTACAAAGATTTAATTTTTTTTTAGATATGAGAATTTTGAGGATCCCCTTGGGATAATTGACAAATTTCACTATGGGACACACTACTCAAATGCTGCTGGTGTCATGCATTACCTCATTCGAGTAGAACCTTTCACAACACTTCATATCCAACTACAAAGTGGCAGGTATGCTGTGAGCAAATAAGCAGCACCTTTATTTTTCCTCCTTATCATTTTACTGAGGGAATGATGAAAGTCTAACCTGAGTGTTCTGATCCACAGATTTGACTGTGCTGACAGGCAGTTCCACTCTATTCCTGCTACCTGGCAGGCGCTTATGGACAACCCCAATGATGTCAAGGAACTTATTCCAGAGTTCTTCTATTTCCCCGAGTTTCTGGAGAATCAAAATGGTAAACTGATGGCTCAGAATATTCACATAGAAAACTGCTCTTGTATTCTTCAGAAAAGCATTGTTACAACCATTTGTGAATGCTGTGGAACACTTCTTATTTAAGCTTTATAGTATGCTTGTAGGAATTACTTTAATCATCATGGTGGCTTCAAACTGTTTAATGAAGACACCAGTTGTATTAAACAGCAGCCTAAACATTGTTTATAATTTAGACTAGGGGCTTAAGGATGGCTAAAAATGGCGGTGTTTACCTGAAGTAAAATATCAGAGATGCTCATTTGGATGTTTGAAAAAGTTAGCATCAGGTACTAGTGATTAACTGGTTAATTAGTTAGAAAAGTTAATTCAGATTAATTAGTATTCTTTTTACTGGGTTCATTGGGTGATAGAGTTTGGACATCTTCAAAGATGTGAGGACTTCTATTTGTTCTAGTCAACCAGCATAGTTTCTGCTTGTTACTGTTATCTTCCAATGCAGCGTTAAGTCACCTGATTCTAGACCCATGTAAAGTTTTGGTACCCATCAGAAGAAAGAGGAAAAAAACCACAAAATTGTTTCACTCCTATATAATGCTGACTGAAAACACAGCATCCTACATTCTGATATGGGACTCCTAGCCATTTTAAATTCACATTTATTGCATAGGGAATTGTTTCTCTACCTGTTAGACAATTTAAAAATGGATTTGCATGTTTGTGCTGCTGCTAATTTAGTCTGCTAGCTACAGTCTACTAGACTTCCAAGTTATAAAAATTGGAAACAGCCTAGTCACACTTTCAAAAGTCATTTAAGTGTTTTGAGTTGTTCTAATGAATGCTGGTGGGATTTAAGACTTCTTGAAAGCCTTGCTTCTACAATCATTTAAAGCTATAAGTAACTTCATTCTTACGAATAACCTCATTGTAATGTTTTGAACTCTTAATCCTGGGAAACAGAGCAAATGCAGATATGTTTACAGGTGTGTGTAAATAATTAATGCTATTTTTAAGGCTGGGACTTCAGCTTTGAAATCATTTTGGTGCTTTGGGCAATCATTATCCTGTATCATTTAACATTTTAAACATTCAGAGCAGAACTTAGCCTCCTATGTCAGTGGTAGGGTTACTGAAAAATTCTTAATGTAAATCTCCAGTATCCTTCCTTTGATTGAGAAAAGAATGCTTTTTAATCTTTATTGAAAAATCAAGATATTTGAAATATTTTATAGTAACTCTTAAAATTCTCCAAATCATTCACTAGGTTTTAACTTGGGTCAGCTTCAAATATCCAGAGAGGTGGTAAATGATGTTGTTCTCCCCAAATGGGCCCACTCCCCAGAAGACTTCATTTATAAACACAGGAAAGCTCTGGTAAGATGATGTTTATGTGTGAAGTAATGATAAAGTACACCTACATGTTGTCACTGTGGTTTAAGTGAAAAATACTGGGACTACATTCAAACCAGAGCTGTGGTTGCAAATGAAATAAAGTACCACTAGAATTTTCAGTTAAAAGCACTGTGCATGTCAATAAAATGCTCAAAAGAAAAAAGGAAAGAGACTAAAGATACTAATCATTTGGGAGTTTGCCCTAGGAAATAAAACACAGAATTAGGTGGGTTTAGGCGATAAGACTTCCCTTGCTTTTTATAGATGATTTTGTGTGGTACAAGGGAGCTAACAGTTTACCTTCCCTTGCACAGTTGCATTTCAATAGTCTAGCTGTACTGCTTCACTGTATTAATTTTCCTTCTTACCTGGCAGTTATTGCCCTTAAGACACATGGATATCCTTATGCTTCTGCCCTATACATTGGTATATACCTAGTTTGTGGGTACTCTTAGTTTAGGAATTAAATCCCTTTCACATAAAATAGTAAATACTTCATGAAGGGAGTACTTCTCTTATTCTTACAAGAGCATTTTTTCCTTCTAGGAGTCTGAGTACGTTTCTGCTCATCTTCATGAATGGATAGATTTGATTTTTGGCTACAAGCAGAGGGGACCAGCTGCAGTGGAGGCACTCAATGTGTTCTATTATTGTACTTATGAAGGTACAAAGCAATATGCCCTCTTGTCATTGTCATCAGACTTGTGGGTTTTCAGTATTAGACAGAAAACACTTCATTTGTGAGCATGCCATAGAGTAGCATATGGTAAGACAACAGAATTATAGATGAAATATGGCAGCATAACTTGTAATTTATCACCAAATAACCAGAATGGTTGATCAGAAATTGTGAACATGAAATGTTCATAAAGTTTTTTTTGAAGGGGGAGGTTATTCCAGTTGCTTTTACTTTGTTTCTAAAAGTGCTTGGAGGTTTTTGTTAGCTTTTCATTTGCTTGCTTTAAAGCTTTTGTGGGAAGAGGTTTCTTGTGGTTTAGGAGCTGAGGCAAGTTGCTTAAAAACATCAAATACTGAAGATAATAGTTAGTCTGTTAATTCTAAACCTGAATTTTGTCTGGATTTTGTGTGCAACTTACTGCATTCATGAGGTATGTTATATTCATTTGGTAAGACAAAAGCCTGTAATTCTTGTACTTAAAGACTTAAATTTCCATGTGCAGAGTGGAGTTTTCAGATTATATTTTATATAGAGGCATTGTTTGAGGGGCTTTTCTGGGGTGTGAAGGGTGATAATCATAGAGCGGTTTGGGTTGGAAGGGACCTCAAACATCATCTAGTTCCAACCCCCCTGCCATGGGCAGGGACACCCTCCACTAGACCACGTTGTCCAAAGCCTCATCCAACCTGGCCTTCAACACTTCCAGGGATGGGGCCTCCACAACCTCTTTGGGCAACCTGTTCCAGTGCCTTACCACCCGCACAGTAAACAATTTCTTTCTAACATCTAATCTAAATCGACCCTCCTTCAGCCTAAACCCATTACCCCTTGTCCTGTCACTACACTCCCTGATAAACAGTCCCTCACCATCTTTCCTGTAGGCCCCTTCAGGTACTGGTAAGCCGCAATTAGATCTCCCCGGAGCCTTCTTTTCTCCAGGCTGAACAACCCCAACTCTCTCAGCCTGTCCTCATAGGAGAGGTGCTCCATCCCTCCCATCAGCTTCTTTGGCCCTCCTTAAGTTTTGCAACATTTGTTGACCATATCAGTTCTCAATAAGTTGTTTGAATTATGTTCTTTCTCCTTTTTTCTACCCTTCTGGTTCTGGTTGTGATTCAGGGGCTGTGGATTTGGATGCTTTAACAGATGAGAAAGAAAGGAAAGCTTTAGAAGGAATGATAAACAATTTTGGGCAAACTCCCTGTCAGCTCTTAAAGGTAATGCTCTTTGTTCCCTCTCAATCAGACCTTTGTGGTTAAATCCAACTGAGTTTCAAAGGACTTATTAAAAAATGACAAGATAATGGTTTGTAGCATTAGGAATGTTAAGTCTTTGCCACGTTTCCATTTGTAAAGGTCACACTGATGGAAATTTAGCATACCATTTTTCAAAAGAAATCTGTTTACTCTAAGAGGAGAAATTAGGTGCTTAAGAGTCTGTTTTCCCATCGATTGCCAGTAAGATTCTGAGTATCTCATGTGACTTGAACAAATTGATGAATTTGTCTAATTTGATATTCCTTCAAATATTGTCTCCTAGGAGCCCCATCCGCAAAGGCTGTCAGCAGAAGAGGTAGTGCAAAGACTAACTAAAAGTGATACCTCTACTCTGAATCTCTTCCAGCACCTCACTGAACTGAAGTCATTCTTCATAGAGGTAGATGCATTACTTGAAATTGTTTAAAGTTTAATCTGAAACTTCTGATGTACTTGAAACAGAAGGTCACAACCTAGATGAAAATAAACTTGCATCTTATTTAAAGAACATATTTTAAAATGCAGTGTGTGTAAAATCAGCTCTGTCTTTTTAGTTAGCTTCATAGATGTTGAATTCCATGAATTGTATCTGCTGGCTGCTTGTACGGAAGGTGTTTAAGTTAGCCACTACACCAAGAAAGCTAAGAACATCAGTGATGGTATCTGAGGACTCACTGAACTTGGTAGCTAAACTCACTGATTCAGGACAGAGGCAGGGTTTCATTTCTGGTCTTTGCAACAAAGCATGCCTGCTTGACTGAGTATATGTACCAGTGCCTTAGAGTACTGTACAGGTCTAACATTGATTCCAGAGGCTTTGGGTCTTACTCTTTACAGGTTCTAAATTTGTCCTTTAGCTCTTCGATATAATCAGACCAAAACCATGTCCTTTCTCTTAGGGAATCAGTGATGGTGTGCCCATCATCAAAGCTGTTGTCCCCAGGAATCAGTCACGTTCCTTTATTTCTCAGGGAAGCCCAGAGATCTTGGTGAGTTGCATATGTCAATACTATTCTTAGACTGCAGACGGTCAAATAGGTGTATTTTTTTCATACAGCTTGTAAACACTTCTTAACTGTTCCTGTTCAAATGTGTTCCTTTAACCTATAATGAATGTCAGTTAGAAGTTAAATATTTGTCTTCTGAAGAGAAGCCAGGCTGATTTGTTGAATAGCATTTAAGAGCTGATGAGACATGAGTATAAGTTGTAGTGAGTTGTATTGTAAGTTGCCCACTTGATCCACTACCATGGTAGTAATCAATTTCCTAATGCAATGCAGCCCAGATTTAAACTGGCAGGATTGAGTTATTAATGGTATAGTTATGTTTATCATTACTTTCCAGCTATACCATATGTGGCATATGCATGCTCCAAAGACCTGCCAACGTTCCTAAAATTAACTTTTGCACTGACTAACACAGGTGCTGGTACTATGGCAGATGGCCAAATGATGAAAGGAGGACAGTGTTTTTGTATTTACATCTGTATGTATGGTCTGCATACTGCCCCCTGAGTAAAAATACCTATGTTTTGCAGTAAAGAATCTTCTTTTCCAATATTCCTATTTTGTAGGTCAAACTTACTGTCCTGGCCTAATGTCGTATGTGCATATGTAATCTGGAATTTGGACACGTCTAAAATTCTCACTGCATTTTTTCTAAATATCTGAAAATAACCTTGAGTATTTAGATTGCTTTCTTACTTTCTCAGAAATAAAACTGTAGTACAATGTTTTTAAAAGTTCCTGTGTTAATATGCTAACTATTAATGATTACTATTTCAAGAAGAGAAGCAGCTTAAACTAAATGACTGAATTGCAATGAAATGTTTGAGAGGGGTTGGTTGGCTGGGTTTTTTGGGTTTTGTCTCTTCCCTGCCCCCTCCTTTCAACTTCTCTGACCTACCTAGAACATACACTATTCTAACTTGGTAATATGTACCATATGTGGATTAAGTCATCTGAGCTGGATATTTTTTTTAATTTGTGGGGGGAGAGGTCTGTTTGGTAAATTCTCAAGAAGCCTATGCTGGATTTTATGCAAGCTCCAGGCAAGCAGAAAATATGCGTCTGGGTTTCACCAATGTTTCTATCAAACTTTTTTAGGTAACAGCAAGTCTGAACTGCATTATTGGAACTCATGGTTGGCTACCTTATGATAAAAATATCTCCAACTATTTTACATTCATCAAAGATACCACAGTAACTAATCCCAAGTAAGCAAATGAAGAGGAGAGGTGCAAATGAATGCATCTACAGTAATAAAATACAGTAATTGTTTAACAATGAGCGGATTTTACAGTTTTCATTGGCTGAGTTTTCACCTAAGAATGTATCTCCTGATGTTCAATAATACTCCCTCTAATCTGTAATACTGTTCTAGTAAAGAGTTACGTAAGTGGCATTTATTGCTACTTCTATTTTTTTTTTTAATTATCATAAAAAATCATTTTGGAATCTGAGATGAGCAGTCTTCATACTTTCTTACACTAGAGTGCAGATATATGTGGTGGTTTCATTTCTTTGGTTTTTAGAATATTCCTTTTTTCTTTAATGTCACAATACTTAATAGGGACATGAGTTATCCATACAAAATCAAATTGTATAAAAGACTGAAAAGATCTAAGGCGAAATCTTGCTTCCATTTGCTGATGGCAGTGAGAGTTTTGCCATGGATATCAGGGGGTCAGAATTTAACTTTTTTTTTTTATATAGCCTCTTCTATCAATGTAATCTATTAATTTTTAAGGATATAGGAAATACATTGATTTGAACTAAGGGTACTCTTAACTACTCATCATTTGCCTACAGAACACAACGCAATATGAGTGGTCCTTTTGCACCGGGGCTGGAGATCACCTCTAAGTTGTTTGCAGTATCCCATGATGCAAAACTGCTCTTTAGTGGAGGACACTGGGACAATAGCATCAGAGTGACATCTCTTACAAAAGGCAAGCTGGTTGGACAGCACATCAGGCACATGGGTTAGTAACTTTTTGTACTGTGAAATGAAAGGTTTTATGTATGGTACCTTGATATCCAGTCTACTTGGAAAGAATTGTAGCCAGTGCACTTGGGCAGACAAGCATAGCAGTTATAAAGGAGTGGCAGCGTAAAAACAGAATAATATTTGAACCACAATTATATGTAAGTACTTAAGCATGGCTTTTTGTCATTGTAGTGATGGTTTAATATACTTTCAAAATAAGGCTTGACTGCTGTTTTTAGGTAGCAAAGCTGATTGTCAGGTTGGTACACCTGATTGTGCAATGACTTCATTGTTTAATACAGTCTCATCAGCCCTTATCACAGTGGAACATTTCATGCTGACTGCAAATCAGGATACATTTTGACATATTGCATGCACATTGTCACTCTGTGGGAAATTAGTCTTAACTATATTATAACTTGTTGTTTTCTTTCCTTTTCTAGATATTGTGACCTGCTTGGCAATAGACTACTGTGGAATACATTTAATTTCAGGCTCCAGAGATACTACCTGTATGATATGGCAAA